GAACTGGAGACCTGTCCAGGTGTCTCTGGTGAACTGGAGACCTGTCCAGGTGTCTCTGGTGAACTGGAGACCTGTCCAGGTGTCTCTGGTGAACTGGAGACCTGTCCATGTGTCTCTGGTGAACTGGAGACCTGTCCAGGTGTCTCTGGTGAATTGGAGTCCTGTCCATGTGTCTCTGGTGAACTGGAGACCTGTTCCCGCCTGTATAATGGTAGGGGAAACACTGAAATCTGTTATACGAACCGTTTTGGTCATGGGAGTGTATGGTGCCACTAATCTCACCCCCATCTTTAAATAGGAAATGTGCCTTCCAGTGGCAGATGGGAAATTGAACTTTCCCACTAGGAGAAATAAAAGTATTGTGTTCAGTTAAACAGTGGAAAAAACTTCACAGAACAGACTTAACAATAATACCAGAAACAAGGTCGGCAACATCCTGTCTTTGACGTGACAATTAGGTCTCGTTTGACACATCAGTGACTTCCGGTTTGACAGAACCTGTTTGTCAGCTAAATGGCCAGATGCTTAGAAATGAGGTAACTGTGCCGTGATGTTAGTTACTAAGGTTTAATGACCTGGCTGCCTTCCTTTTTGTTCTTTTCCCTGTAAACATCTAAATAAATCTTTAAAATTGTGGCACAAGTCATACGATGTCAAAGTCCTGTTGAAGGAATTGTGGTGCAGGAGGTGGAAAAAAGAAAAAGAACTATCTGACTATTATATCCTCAGTTGTATCTGATACAGAACAGAAAACAATTGTTTCTGGCTGCAGGTAGAGCATTGCGTAACATGAAACTTCAAACAAGAAAACAATGGTTTCACACTTTGACTAAAGAGGTATCAGGCAGCTGATCCATCTTTTATTTAAAGGCCTCGTATTTTTTGGAAGAATGCATATCGCCCACCGCCCTGTTTGAAGGCGTGATGGCTCTTGGCTACTACTCACTATGTGCTGGCAAATGTACTATATTCAGTGATGTACTTAGTTACAGTACTAAAGTGATTCTTTTGAGGATTTGTAATTTTACAAAGTATTTTTTGAATCGTTAATTTTACTTTCATTTCGTAAAAATTAAAACTTTAAAAATTATACTTTTACTTCTTTACTTTAAAGTGCCTGTGACGTCAAATCTTTGTAATACATATGAATGTTTTTTTAGAAAGAGGACATTGATAAAATATTGCAAAAGAAATTTCATGTCGCTGAGATGAACAGTTGTTGAGATATTTGCCTGTGAAGTAACAGGAAGTGATGTCAAAGGGGAATGTCTGCATGTGAATAGAACAGTGCTACAACAGCCAACAACCCAGACTGTAGAGAAGAATCTGATGTTTCTTAAGATTATTTTGAGTCTCTATCAGAGATGAAGAGTCAGAGTTCAAATAATATTGTTTCAATAAACAAAGACCAGAGAATTTTCTTTGTTAAAGAGTTCCCCTTTGATGTCACTTCCTGTTTCACTTTGGCTGAGCTAGAGCTGGGCGGTATAACCCAAATTTTATATCACGGTATTTTCAACAATTACACCAGTTTCACGGTATTTGACAGTATTTTTTTCCACACAGCTCAACTGATAATAAAATGTACAAACTTTGCTTATTGACATTTTTCTTTTACTGTACCTCTGTATGACTGTTTCTGTACATCTTTTCTTCTTTGCCTGGTTGTTGCATTTAGGTCCGATCATGAAGGGTTGAGAAAAAAATCATTATCTGGTCTATCGTTGCATATTAATAAAACTTAAAAGGACGACTCACCTTACACACCATTCAACTCTGCTACACTACAAAACTACTTCTCCCCAGGCTTTTCACAATAGAAGCACGCTAGTGTCTCCATGCAATAACGTCTCCATTATAACGTAGCGTGTTAAATCTAATTGTGCACGTTACTGAAGGGTTGTTTACTATTCAGCGATGTTGAAAACGGGATGTTACTTCAGACCATATAAGCAGCTGAAACACACCACCCGCCACCATTGTTCCAACAATAACGTTAGCATGCTAACATGCTTAGCGGTGCTGCGAGGGAACGTGTCCCCAGGGAAACAGCGGCCGCGACAAAGCATTCCGCACGTGTTCAGGCTATTTACACAGGTATTCAGAAAAGTCATTTCACAAAAATAAAAACCAGTTTTCGGTACAAAACGGTATACCGCCCAGCACTAGGCTGAGCCAAGTTCATAAGAAAATATGCCAGTTATGGGCCAAAATGGGTTAAATCGTGTGAATTATTCCAACTTTCTTAAATATAAAGATGTTTTCTTTGATTTTTTTGTATTTGAAGAACATGCATGTCACAGGCACTTTAGGTTTTAACACCAAGCTACTCATTACAAATTTAAATCAGTCCAAATTGTTTATGCACTCTGAAAAATGAAGTGTTGAGTTTACTCAACCAAGTCACGTCAACTGGTCCCACTAAACCCAGTAGAGTAAAAATGAAGGAAGAATATTTGTATATCGCCTTAATTTACTCAACTTGGTTTAGTGGAACCAGTTTGGTTACTTTTACTTTCCTGATTTTGGTGAACAGTTATATGACTTTTACTGAAGTACTTTTCTCATCCGTGAAATTTCTAGACCTCTGACTATATTTTAGCTGTAGCAGCCATCTTGAATTTGGTTGACTCTTTAGTAAATTTAACTTTAAATGCGCATCCAATGGTTACATTTTAAGAGTTTTATTAAAGTTGCTACAGTTGTTTATGCGATATTTTGCTAACAGACAAAAATAGTTGATGCCAACAGTTAAAACCAAAGTCTTGGGTAAATATTGTGCACACTGTGTAGTGGTTAGAATACATGTTGTGAATGACTCTCAGCTACTACCTCACCTAATTTTAGCTCAGTGTCTAACAGTGGCTGACTTCTATTTTTGTGTTTAGTTGCGGTAGCGGCCATCTTGAATCGGGTTGAGTCCAAAATTTCATCATTTGTAGATGAACACCTGATGATTTTCTGCACATTTTATTAAAATCCATCAATTCTTATGTTTTTTTTATTCAGTTTCTGTCGAGGTTTTGCTCAGGATTTTGTCGCTCGTCCACAGGAACTTGCTTTGAGGAACCAGCTTCCCACCAGTATGGATCAAGACGGCGGCACAAACCCCGTATCCTCCCCCTTGGCCCAAGACGCTCGGACCATGACCGCTAACAGCTCTGACCCATTCCTCAACAGGTCAGTGCCTGTCAGTCTCCAGACATGTCCTCTGTGCAGGAAGCAGAGCCCGGTCGGCCTGCTGAAAACTGCTGCTCGTGTCCCGGATAAGTGCTCGGCTGTTTGAGCCCGAGCGCTGCTGAGAGGCGAATTACCCAAGTTATAAAAACAGAAAGCTTGTCTCCTGGCTTAACGCCTCCTCACATGGTAATGACTCATACAGACTTTCAGATAAGCTATAGTTTACCGCAAAATAATGACCTCTGGTGTGCAACTGCTGCAATAAAGGTAAATCAAACCAAAATGGTGGTGCGTATTATGAAAGCAACTTTTTTTTTTGGTTAAAACTTTTATAACTGACAGAGAAAGCTGATGTACTAAACTTGGATCAGAAACAGCTGCGGTTGTGAACTTACAGGAGGATTTTTTATCATTCTGGTGTATTATTCTGAACAGTTGAAGCTCTAGTTCTTCTCAGAGCAGACAGTGTGGAAAGAGCTGAATAGCAAACAGGCCATGAGAACATGTGGTCCAGTCAGTAGACAGGCCGACCTAATCTCCCCTCCTCCTCCTGTTCCCTTCACTCCCTGCTTTTCACAAAGGCCTCATTCATCCTGCCTCTGCCATACTCTGCCTACATATTTTTCTGCTAATTAGTATAGGCTTGTCAAATGTCTTCTTTTCTCCCTTTGTCTCTGTTGTCCCTTTCATTGTTGCTTTTTTTTCCTGTGTTCCGCAATAAAGGGTGAAAAAGTGAAGCTCTGTTTCATTTGTGTCACTGTGGTCACCGTTGTCATTCACATGCGTACTAGAGAAACGTTTTCTGCAAAAATGAATGACTTTGCGGAAATTTTCTGAAAAATCTGAAAGTGAGCTGAAAAGTGCATGTTGCAAAATAAAAGCTAAAAGTTGCACAACTTTAGCAAAATGTGAGGTAATTTTACTATATAGCTTAACACTAGCAACAAGCCAAACGAAGCACGAGAAGAAAAAAAATTATGCATGAATATGAATATTTGTACATGTCGACGTGAAAAATGACGGCATGGTATGAGGGCCAAAATTAAGACTATTGCACAACCAGTGGTTGCTACATCCTTGTATCAGGAACTTATATCTATTATATTCTGTTCCTAAGCCAGATATTGATCTGATTAATGATAGGCCGGCACCAATAACTGAGCAGCTGGCCCTGGCAACTGAGAGGCCAGTGCTGGCAAATGAGGAGGAGACTATTCATTTGCGTTAGCATCGGAGAGGCTAGCGACTAGCGTGGATAAGCTGGCATTAGTATTGGGGAGGCTAGCAACTAGTATGGATAGGCTGCCTTTAGCATTGGAGTGGCTAGTGACTAGCATTGATAACCTGGCATTAGCATTGGAGAGGCTAGCGACTAGTATGAATAGGCTGGCATTGGCATCGGAGAGGCTAGCGACTAGTATGGATAAGCTGGTGTTAGAATTGGAGAGGCTAGCGACTAGCATGGATACCTGGCATCAGCATTAGAGAGGCTAGCGACTAGTATTAATAGGCTGCCTTTAGCAATGGAGAGGCTAGCGACTAGCATGGATACCTGGCATCAGCATTGGAGAGGCTAGCGACTAGTATGGATAGGCTGGCGTTGGCATCGGAGAGGCTAACAACTAGCACGCCTCATACCGCACCATATAAATTATGCATCAAAAATATTGAAGATATGAAAAAAGGGAACTGATTTTGAAATATTTGAACAGATCTGAATGTATTTTTATGAGGAAAATTACTTAAAGTATAGAAATGACAAAAAATAAAAGAAACTAAAAGCTCTAATGCTCGTTTACTGACTGAGCTGAATGTTTCGATGTTTTGAAAGTCGGATTTCAAAATTTGTACGGAAATATAAAAATGATTAAACAGACAATAAAACGATGTCTGAATCCTGACTCGGGTGTAAAGGTTTCCATGCAGATGGTCTTAGAGCTTGCTGTAAGTCTGTTTGCTTTAATGCTTTTGTGCTTTAAATAACCAAGTTTGCCACATTTATTTAATTCATTTGGTTTCAGAGAATCAAACCCCAAGATCGAATCAATTCAAACAGCTTCCTATTTATATTTAACATAATCAGTTTGATTGTAATTGTTGAGGACTGTTTATAATCTGCATTTCTTATTTTCTTTCTTTTTCTTTTTTTTCTTCCTGGTTTCCAGCGGGACCTACCACTCCAGGGATGAGAGCACCGACAGTGGATTGAGTATGAGCAGCTACAGTGTTCCTCGCACTCCAGATGACTTCCTGAACAGTGTGGATGAAATGGATACAGGTGAGTAATACTTGTCGTGTATTCTTCTCCTTGTTCATTAAAAATAAAAGGACTGTAGTGTGTTTTTAAACGTGCGCAGTTAAAAGCAAAAACAGATCAGGTCGATATGGCTGAGATCTGGCAGTCCTGTGGCCTGCAAAACAACCACAGCCTCTCGCTGAGGAAGATTCTGCAATTAATGTAATATCACTCTAAAAATCCTTCCACACCACAAGCAGCTCCAAACCATCTCAGACACTCGCTTTTGCTTATTTTGATAACCGTGTCCTGGAGATTTCTGAACTCACCACAGAATGTGTATTTTGAGATGAACTTGAAAGAATTCAGATTCAAGTTTCGTTTCTGGATTCAGTAAATGAGAGAGGATAGTTTTCTTAGCAGTTTTCTATCAAGAGAACAAAGACTGGACACCATTGCATTGACCATTAAGTGGATGCTCAATTCAGTTCAGTTTTTTATTATTATTGTTATTATTGTTGTTATTATTGTTATTATTATTGTTATTATTATTATTATTGTTATTGTTGTTGTTGTTATTGTTGTTATTATTGTTATTATTATTATTATTGGTATTATTGTTATTATTATTGTTATTATTGTTATTATTATCATCAACATCATTTTTCTTCTGGTCACCAGGGGACCAACTTCCACCCTCCATGGCGACGCAGCCCAGCCGTTTCCCTGACTACCTGGATGCCATCCCAGGAACAGACGTGGACCTGGGCACCCTGGAGGGCGAGAGCATGGCGGTGGAAGGCGAGGAGCTGATGCCCAGCCTGCAGGAGCCCCTGAGCTCCGACATCCTCAGCGACATGGAGTCTGTGCTCGCCGCCACCAAGATCGACAAGGAGAGCTTCCTCACGTGGTTATAGAGGGGCGGAGCTTCCTCACGTGGTTGTAGAGGGGCGGGAGCGCGGCGCGGCGTACTCCCCTTTGGCTCTGAACTTCTGTCTCTGCCCTCTGGACTTCAGCCTGCTCTCATCTGTGAAGGATTTGCTTTTTGACCAGACATTTCAGCGGAGCCTCTCTGAACTTCTGTGCCTCTCAGCGTGGAAGGCTAACCTCTTCGCAGGCAGTATTGTTCTCTTCTTTTCTCTGGTGTTTTCTTTTTTTTTTTTTTTTTTTTTTTTTTTTTTTTTTTGTCTCTTAATTTTGTCTGTGTCTTCAAGGCTGGCCTATGAACAGACAATTATGCAAGGGCCCCTAAACTGTTCGCAGGCCTTGTCGGTGAATCTAGGGCTTCTTTTACCCAGAGCACAGCTGACCTGGGCAGGTGTTCCTCCTCCGCAAAGACTACCGTTATTATTGCTCGTCACCCGGAATCATTGGAGCCTGTTTGTCTCGCAGTATAGCGCGAAGCAGCACTACATAACTGTGTTTACTGCATTTAGTTTTATAGCTTTATATATGGCCTCAAATTTCTTTAAAAAAACACCTGAATAACCAAAAATGATGTATTAGGAGTAAAACGAACAATACTGATTTGGAGTGAAGGTAACACGAGGCTTAATTTGGAGAAGTTGGCTTTGCTTTGGGGGGGTGGGGGGTGGGGGTTCGAACCTGGGGTTGACTACATTGCTGCTTGGCTGTGCCAGCTAGTCTAAATTAAACCTTTTGATAGATCAAGTGCCTTCAGATGTATTATTTTTGACGCGAGCGACACAAATATCTACCCAGTTTTCTATAAAGCGACACTAAGCATCGGGCTGTGTTAATGAATATAAGCCGCATGTTCTTTTTAATGTTTAATAATCAAAAACTATGTATTTTTTTTAAAGCGTAAGGTGATTTGGGGATTTTTTTTATAACCTCTAGCTTCCTTGTATCTCATTCTTATCAGGGCCTAACCCACACTTCACTTGTTATCTTTTTAGTGTTTTATTTTTAGCTTGTTACACGTTTAACTAGTTACACGTGATAGATTAGATGGAATAGCCTTTATTTTGTTTTTAGAAGATGAATTGAAACTTTTTTTTAACTGGTATCGCAACACATCGCTTCAAGACTCACAATACATAATGTTCTGGCATCTTGTTTTTATGAGTATAAACATTTTAAATGATTTTTCTTATTGTTGCTTTACTATATATACTTATTAGTGTTATTGTATTTTTTAAATCACAATCAGCTTTTAACATTAACCAAAACAAAACCATGAAAAAAAACAAAAGCAGGCAGACACCGTAGCTCAGATCAGTTGAAGCATGTGACAGTATAGAGGAATTGGACCTTCCTGCAGAGGGCGCTGAACCCCAGTGTGATGCTGTGTTGAGTGTTTTTTAAAAGGAAAAAAAAAAGGTTTTTTTTCGACTGCAGCTCAGAAAGCTTAAAGCATGTTTTGGAGTCACGTTGAGGGTAAAGTAGAGGTTGATGACTTGTTTTTTTTTTTTTATGGAATGCATCAAAAACACAATCAAATATTTCCGTCAGGAATTGTCACGACAAATTCCCCAAAAAAATGTATTTGAACTTTTTTTTTTAACGTTGCTTCCACCTTCAGAGTCGAGACGGCGCCTGATTCTTTTTGTAAACCAGCCTCTATGAATTGACTGTATAAGCTAATGAGATGATTTACGTCTGTTTGAGTGTTAATGACATCTGACTAGTTCTAGCTAAGAGATTTCTTCTCTTTTTTTTTTTTTTACATGGTTGTTTTGAATGACTAACCCTGAGATTTTTGAAGATGAGCTTTCCGAACAGAGAAGCAGGTGATCCTTGAACAGCACTTGCATGTTTACATACTTTAAGAGACTCCTACGGCCGCAGTGGAGACAATACACTGACAACCCTCCTAATCGTTTTATGTTTACAAGATAACTCCCATCTTTGCAGTAACCTTTGAGTAATCAGCCTGCTGTGCCGTTGCCCTTGGTCTGACGCCTCGCAGGACGTCTCACCGGTTCTGGTGCCGGCCGAGAGTAAAGTAGCATCAACTCAATGGAACACAAAACATTTAACTTAGATTTAGAGGACATGAACTTGTTTTTTTCTATTATTACTATTATTCTTTGTGAGAAACTTCATGTTTAGGGCTGATTTTTACTGATCAAACCGTGTGTAAATGCAGTGGTTCTCAACTGGTTTGGCTTCGGGACCAGTCCCCTCCCCCCACCATCACAAGTCACGACCCGAATCGAAGAATATATCTTCTCAAATGCATTGAATGAGAAGATGGTGCAGTTTGAACCTGACAGTAAAACAGAATATTACAGTATGTCAACACACACGTAAAAAAAAACGATTAAAAGTAAACCAAAATGAGCAGCAAGTGGCTAATTGGGAAATATTCTGTTTTACATCCAATTAGTCGCATTTTAATTTTAAAGAAAAACTTTTTTTCTAACAAACTCCACAATGCTGACAAACATGAAATCAAAAAATAACGTAAAGTACCTTTTTAAAAAAGTAAAAAAAAAAAAAGTTGTTCTTCGCCCAGTCAAAGGCCCACAAACCATCAGTTGAGAACCATTGTGGTTCTGGGTTTTAAAGCTAGATGAACAGTGTTTGTGAGAACAATGATTGGTACACCGCAGTGCTCGCATTGCACGGCTACAGTTTTGTTTTGAATACCATAAAGCATTTTTTTTGTCACAAGTCAGTTTTGTATCGTTAGTGTGCAAACCGTCGGAGCGTTAGCCGTTGACTCGTCGTAGCATTAGAACTAATCACAAGTTAAAGGATTTTTGTATTTAGAGATTTCTAAATGCACATAAAATGAATTTATACTCCGCATTGACTGTTCATTTTTGATAGATATGTGCATGTGTTTTAGAACAAAAGAAAAAAAAATCTGTTACAATATACATTTCTTCATATGATACTTTGAAATCGGCCTGAAATAAAGTATATACTTTGTGGTAATTTTACTTGTGTGTTTTTATGTTTTGTTTAAGAATTATGTTGAAACTTTTGCATTTGTTGACGTTTTTTTAAGCTGGACCCTACACATTCTTTGTTATTAACATAAAATCATTTAAAAAAATGTATATGATGGGCTCTTTGTGCGGTTCCTCCTAAGGTGGTTTGTCACAGGCCTGCAACTGTTGGACACTATAACTAGATATTTTCAGTTGCAGTTTCTCAGAATTCTAAATCCTTGCCATCAGAGAGCTGTGTGGTCATATTTAGTGTGACAAGTTTGAAAATTTTACAAAACTATTAAACTAGGCCAGAGGTGGGCAATCCTGGTCCTTAAGGGCTGCTGTTCTGCATGTTTTACTTTCTCCCCTGCTTTAACCCTCTTGCATAAGCAACTGAATTACCTCTTCAAGTTCTGCAGAAGTTGTTGCATTCAGGTGTGTTGGAGCAGAGAAACAATGGAAAACAAAATGCAAAAATTACATCAAAATAATAGAACTGGTGCAGTTACTTGCTTAAACCACGAGAGGGCGCCGAATGTTAATGCATGCAATTATGTTCAAACCCCCCCCCAACCCTCCCTTCTGGAATTCAGATTTTTTTTCTCCATTTTCTAAAACCCTTTCATTTGCAAGAGCCACAACATGATCACCTCAGAAATACTAAAACCCACCATGTTATATGCATTATAATTAGTAACACAGATTACAAATCTATTATTTGACATAAATGAACAAACTGGCAGAACTCCTGCCAACATTCCTGCTTAAAGGGTGCAGTCCCTTCTGCCCCACAACAACTGAATACATATTTGAGATAACTTGAATCAAATTCACTTCCTATAGAGACCGAACTGGTGAAGCACTTTGGTAACCTGTTGTTGCTCCTGTTTTCACAGGGGGTCAGAGACACTGAACCCATAGTGCTTTTAGAAATCTCCCAAATTAAGCCTAATGTTTAATTAGCTTGCTAATTAAGCACCTGTGATGTGCATATGCTTCAAATACAAAAAGCCAAAGAAAACATCTTTATATTTAAGAGACTTGCCACAATTCACACAATTTTACACACAAAAGCAACACTTTGTTCAAATAAATTTTATTAATTACAAGTAACATAATGTCTAATTACTATACCAATTATTAAATATCACAAGAGGAAAAAAAAGTGATTACATTTATTTGAAATGCTTAAAAATCTACCACAGAGGAGAATGTTTGAACAATAAAGAGGAAACCTGGCAAGATTCTGCGTGTGGTGGTAAAACTTCAGGGGCTAAATACTGTGTCATGCAAAAAAACTCAACGCAAGGTGTCTTTAAAGGCAACATCTTTGTTTTGTTTTCACAGTGCCAGTTTTGTATTTTATTCCTCAACAGCAACACTAAAGCATGAAATACAGTCTACGAGAAATAATAATAATAAAATGAAACGGCGACATTAATGAAAAGCTGTTTCTTGGGGAATATATAAGGAACAAATATGCAAGTACTGAGATCAAAAGACAAAATCCTTTCGCAGGAAATACAATACAAAACAATTCAGTATACACGGATAACAAATAGTTTTGAGTTTATAAAATTTCTTAGTTTTATTCATTTTACATTATATACACAAACTCTACAATTTGAGCTGCAGGTCGATTTTTCTTTTGCAATCTGTAATCCAGATTTATGAATGACTGCCCAGAATCTCGTCCAGATTGATGTCTTTCATCCAGTCGTCGTTTCCAGAGCCGGATTTTAGCAGCGAGTCGATGAAGTCTGAGTCTGCGTTGATGCCTGGGACTGTGTTGTCTCCCTCAGGGAGGAAGTCAAAGGTCAGACGGTTGGATCTATTGTTCTGGTAGCTGCTGGGGTTGGTTTCAGTAAAACTACCTGCTGGTACTCTCTGCTCAGGAGAGGCCTGGTTCAGGTTTCTCATTGGTGACGGACAGCCCATCATGGCCTGGCTTTGTCTCAGCCTTATTAAAGGGTTCACAGGGAACATCCCGATCTCTGGGGCTATGTGGTTGGGTGGGCTGATATTCCGCGGTCGATAAGAGTGGTTTGGCAGGTCTTGCACGCTCTGCGGCTGCAGTGGGTTTGGTAGACGCCTCGCACCGAGTCCAGTTGTCATTTGATTGCTGGCCGAAGCCCAGGCCAGGCCGACATTTGTCACTGAGCCTCCAAGGCCCTGCAGTGCCACCCCGGAGGAATGCAAGTCAGCTGTTGCTCTCTGGTGTTGGACGCCGGCTACGTTGTTCATCCCGAACGACTTTCCTTGGCCGTTTGGCCCCAGGAACCTCGGCTTATTTTGGTTCAGTTCGATCCGATTGGGACAGTTCTGCTGCTGGAATTGTCCGACGCAAGACGTGGCGTGACAGTCCGTCCTGACACCAAATCTGCGATCTGACGGTAAAGGGTTCATCTTTGAAGTAGAGCCACTCGACAGCTGGCAAGAAAGGGACTGTGGGTTATTCTCAGGCCCACTGCTGGGAGACTGGGACGAGTTTTGACCTAAAAATAAAAATGCAACAAACTTGCGTTACTATTGCTGTTACTTGTACAGACTTAAAGTAATAATTGCATATATGCAATGTCAACTCCAGTACCTGTGAAGATATTTCCTTGCTGAACTCCCACCATGCTTCTCGGCTGCTGATAGCCTGGCGGGGGTCTTGTAAGGTGTCGACTAAGTTCATGCGGGTTGTCTTTGTCCTGGAAGGAAAACTCAGAGTTATGAACGCTGATTTTCAGATCGATCGATCTGACGTGAGCTCTACACGGTGCTTACTGCGTTGCTGACGGCGTGCTGCTGTTGGTTAACCTGTCTTTGCATGGCCGGGCCTTTCACTGGGCCTTTCTGCTGGTTGTTGGGTGCTGAGGGCTGTGGTTGAGGCTGGGCAGACATGACTCCTAGGTTTCCATTAGTGGGCAGCCTTGGACCAGCAGGAGCCCCCTTTCAAAAGAAAAAAACAAAAAAAAAGAAAAAATATTTTACAACTAGACATGGGTTTTCAATGTAAAAACAAGTGCGCATTGCCATGTAGCATGGCTTTGCCTTCAGCAATGGACTTGCAGAATGAAGTGTGACCAAGTTCAAATGTGTTTTCTATAACAGCTTGTGCTTGTCAAGTCAGCAGGTGTTTGTAATAAGGGTAATTGTGTGGCAATATGAAGTTTGTAGAGATTTTCTGCTAAAGTTGCTGTTGCTGGGTTTTGAACCTTGATCTCCCACATGAAAGTCCATGGCACTAACCATGAGACCATTGGTGCTGTGGCAGAGAACCCTGCCAGGGGTTGGTTTATATATGTGCAGAAAGAGGCCACATTGCCAATGTAATGGTTGTCACTAATTTGAAATATATTGCAACAGTAAAGCAATATTAGGACAATATTATAGTAAAACATCAAAATACAATCATAATAGTATTATAAACACTGAACTATTGAGTTTAAATATTATTAAACTATCGTGCAGTACCAAGTTGAGTACAGCATGGGGCAGTATTGGACCAATACAAGGCTCAATTGACTGCCATTATAATATTTTAAACATTAATATTTCAAAAACAATAGGTTTTATAGGCACCAAAAGGCATAGACATCATTTGGAACAGGAGCTTTACATATATAAATTACAATGGCAGCTCTAGGATAAAGTATGCAGGAAAAGAAGCATGGCAAAGTTGAGATGACTTGGATGGGAAACGAATCACAATAGTGTGCATTGCATTGGCAATGCTCACTGATAATGAAAAACAAAAGCAAAACTCTGTAATGATTTGGTTAACCACTAGAGGGCAGAAGACTACAAGAAATCACATCTGTGTCAAAGATGCTATTCAGTGTAGAATGTGGTCAAGGCTACTCCCTCTGCAGATGAAAAAGGGAGACAGGGAAAGAGTTTTTTTTTTTTTTTTGGGAAGGGGAGAGGGTGCAGGGGGGAGAGCGAGTCCTCCTCAAGGCCTGATTTTCCCTTGATAATTCTGTCTAAAGAGAGTGGAAAGAATCCCTGAGACAGCAGGAAATGTGTGCCGATGGGAAGTTGAGCTCCAACACTATGACTGCCTTCATTTATTAAGTTCTTGCACTGATCACTGTGTTGTGTTTGGCTCGTGGCGTTATTGCTGATTAATAGCAGTCGGCAGAGCTGGGATTTAATTGAGACGTTTGTGTTTTGAAGTCTTTTCCTCGTAAAAGCTCTGACGGGTTTCAGTTTTTTTTGTTTTTTTTTTGACATGCTGCATATTTTCACACGCCTTTTTCGGGCGACCGTGCAGACCATCGACAAGACTCCACGTATAATTTGTCTTCTCTCCCGCGGACAGGAGGACACCCTCACAGCGCCGGGGCTTCACACAAGCCGAGCGTTTGTCACGAAGGCGCTTGGAAGTACAAGTCAGTGCGCAGCTGTACACGGCTGTACACGGTGTCAGTTGTGTGTCAAAGGTTTTCCAGGATGAAACATAAGAAAACCAACAGTGAGCGTTCAAAGGGCTGTTAGCGGAAAATGATTAACAACCCGGCTGTGATTCCTAAAAGGAAAAAAAAAAAGGCAGAGAAATGAGAGCAAAGTTTATATTTAGATCTACAGTGTTTGATTGATTTAACCAAGTAATGAAGCTGCTGACCCTCACAAACTAGTTCCATCTTTGTTCCAAGAAGAAATCCAATCTTTTTTTTTTTTTTGCTATTAAAACTGAGTAATCCTTTTATACTGATGTGTCATAAAATTGTTTCCGTGCCCCCTTTCCCTCGCCTTTCTTATTCTTCTCAAGCTTGCTGTAAATGAGTACCACATGTGGCTCAGGCTGGAGAGAGGGAACGGCGCAGGGAGCTGATCCGGGCCGAGCCTAGCCGGCTCTCACACTGCACTTCCTCCGTGTCTGCTCTCAGGATGCCGTCCCCCTGGGAGCGCCTCAGCATCTGGACTTGGCCGCTGCTCCCTTTCCCAGCAAACAAGTCCTCCCTTCGCCGCGACCAGGAAGCTCAACCCGACGGGCCCTGCTCTTGTCCTTAATGAATGATGTGGTGCTACAAGATCACCGGCTCATGTTTACCGATATTCATCTCCAGCCTTTTGTCTGTCGCTTCTGTAAATAAGCAGTCGACATGCTGCCAAAAAATGTCGACCTAACCCGAGTCTTAATTTTGTATCCAGCTTAATTTGAGATTCAGACTCAAATTAAGTGAAATAATCTGCCACTTGTACTTGACGTCAAGAAATAACAGAAAATAAACAGGCTAACTGTCAGGTTTGTGCATGAAAAAACCCAGGGAGCAGGCAAAAACTCCAAAAAGAAACTTATCAAATAAATAAAATAATAAAGGTCTGACAGGGTCAGCAAAAAAGTACTTGAATGAACCAAGTCTAGAGAACCAAACCAAACCGGATGAAAACATAAAATTCTCACACTAAGATTCATATTTTAACACATTCTGCTCTGGCTTAGTCTATCAGTCTTCTTTATAACTGAAGCTATAAAGCTTTGGTTTGAACTCCTCCTTATTTTAATTTCACCAGCTCCTCTTTCACCACTTTTCTGGTGAAACTCTCAAAGCAGCTGGTTTTGTTACTGTTCCTTTAAGACCAAAAAGAAAAAAAATTGTATAGGTCCTCTGGACGGGTTCTTCTCTAATGAAACGTTTCGTCTCTCCTCCAAGAGACTTCTTCAGTCTGAGAG